GGCAAAACCCCGTCTCTACTAAAAATATAAAAATTAGCTGGGCATGGTGGTGGGCACCCGTAATTCCAGCTGCTTGGGAGGCTGAGGCAGGAGAATAGCTTGAACCCAGGAGGTGGAGCTTGCAGTGAGCTGAGATGGTGCCACTGCACTCCAACCTGGACAACAGGACTCCGCTCCTTGTGTTCGAGTCGAGGATGACACTGTAAAAACCAGGCTTGCAGGTGTTGGTATTCATATGATGAACATGTCTTAGGCTTTCCCTGAATCACATGCCTGTGATTCCCCAGCGGGGATTTCCCTGGCAGATTTCGGAGATGTGCTGACCAGTCACCATTTTCCATCATAGTCTTTCCTTGAGGGTTTCACGTAGTGTTCTCAGGTAGCAGGAAGGGAGGGAGACTTTCTTGCCAACACCATTTCTAAATATAAACTTCTAATTAAGCAGGCTGTTCGAACCTCCTTTGGAAAGGTCATTTGTGAAAGTGGAGCTTTTGGTCACAATGTTAAGCGATCCCACTTGCATCATATGGATAATGCCATGTGGTCATACTCAGAAAATATCATCAGCGGTGGCCCATTGATTTATATAAGGCCAGAGGATCTTCCGTGTTAGATATCAAAGAGCTGGGGTCTGCCAGCTTCTCCTCTTAGGACCAGTTCTTGTGAATTATCTGCTTCTAAGTTTCTTAAAATGCCTGTAACCAGATATGTCTTATTGGCAAAAGCAAAATAAAAGCCATGGTTGTTGTGGCCAGGTGCGGTGGCTCACACCTGTAATCCCAGCACTTTGAGAGGCAGAGGCAGGCGGGTCACCTGAGGTCAGGAGTTTGAGGCTAGCCTGGCCAACATGGTGAAACCCCGTCTCTACTAAAAATAAAAAAATTAGGTAGGCATGGTGGCAGGCACCTATAGTCCTAGCTATCTGGGGGGCGGAGGCAGGAGAATAGCTTGAACCTGGGAGGTGGAGGTTGCAGTGAGCTAAGATTGCACCCCTGCACTCCAGCCTGGGTGACAGAACAAGACTTCATCTTGAATGAATGAATGAATGAATGCCATGGTTGTTGACTCATTGATTTTGATGAAAGAAAAACTAATGAAGAGTTGGAAGTGTTAGTGAATTAACTGGGTTTTCAATAGGCTCAGTCACATCTAGATTGTCAGTGTCAGTGAAATTAATTTATTGGTTCATACATGTGCCTTCATTGACTGGAAGTTCTGATTATGGCTATAAAGTCTTGGTTTCAATAAACTAGGGGCAGTGTGGGAATTTGGGAGCCACAAACAGGCTTAAGGGCATGAACCCCATGAAATTTTCTTTAAAATCTACACATACATGAAGAGGATTCCATAGCTTCTGTTAGGTTTTTAAAGGGATTCAGATCTCAAAGCTGTTAAGGAGCCTTGTGAAATGCTCAGAATACCTCACTGTGGCTGGGTTGGTCCCGGACTGCGGCCTCAGTGCCCTGATTGAAGCTGTTGCTATGCAAGAGGAGTGCTTCTTGAACGTTTCAGGTGGTTCTTTAGAGTGAATGTGGATACTATGTGCCATTCCTAGGAAGAAGTGAGCAGACAGGAAAGGGGGAGCGCAGAAATGATGGATTGACTTTATTTTATTTTTGGAAAAAATGCACCTGAAAAGGAGTTAAGAACATAGATTTTGAAGGAGAATGCTGGAATGAGGACAAGTTTTAGTGGTAACACTTAAACACCAGAGCTACTGTGACATCTACATAGACAGAGGAAAGATACTGTGGCTCCATAGTTTTCACATGTAGGACAAAATGAGGTTTTGAGAGTGGCAGGTTGAGAGAAAGAGGAAAATGCTTGAAAGAGGACAAATCTTAGAGGCAACACTTAAAACACCAGGGCTACTGTGACATCTATGTAGACAGGAAAGACAAACATGTTTCCTAAATGTTTCTGATGACGTTGATTGAAACTATCTGAGCCATGTAATCAGAAAATAAAAGTATGCATCTTAAAAAAAACAAAAACAAAAACATAGATGTTGGAGCCAAACTTCCCAGGTTCAAATCCCAGCCCTGCCATTAGGTGCAATGTATCCTTAGCAAATTAAGTAATTTCCATGTGTTTCGAGTGTCTTCCTTTTTGAAATGGGGTTAAAGTAGTATTTGCTTCCTAAGGTTGTGGGAAGGATTAAATTAGATAAAGTCTTCTTGGTAGCATGTAGTACATGGTAAGTGTTTAATAAATATTAGCTGTTATAATAGAGTCAGGTAGTTGTCCTTAGTAATGTAGCAAAATAGGGACAGTTCAGGTTTTCTATACATGGACCTATCTCCAGAAAGTCATCTGCCTTCAGTATTTGTCTGCCTATGAGCTATTTTAGCATTTGTCTACCTGTGAGCTGTTTCAAGCAAATTTTGATGCATAAACATAAAAAGTGAAAAAAATATTGTCATGTATAATTTTAGCAAAATAGGACAATCTGTGTTCTTGTCATAAAATATTGGATGATGGTGTTTGTCCTGTTTAATGAATGCCTGTTAAATGATTAACAGGATGAGAATATCACATTGCCTTTTTGTCTTTTGAAATATATTGCTCAGTCTTTGATCCTGAATTTCATCTAGGATATGGTCATGGAAGCCTCATCATCTGAGATGTCACCCTCAAGATCAGTTTTTCCATCGTCATTAGGCTGTAGAGAACTGCTGTGTCTCTCTGCATTCACCTTCTCGTGAGATGCCTTCCCTTGTAAGCTTTCTTTTTTTTTTTTTTTTTTTTTTTTTTTTGCTGTTATGGATGGAAAATGAAAAACTGATTTCTCAAGTGTTCCATGAAAGCAAAAAAAAAAAAAACCCTGCGAAGATGACTTCTTTTATCCCTTTTTGAAAGTGATGCAATTCTTTGGGCAATGCATTGAGAACTGATGGATGATGTCATAGTGATGACTTATTTCACAATTACACTATCTTAAGGGATCTCTTACCATTCTCCTGCTTTCTTAGTCTTTTAAAAAATCATAGGTGCCAATAATTGACCAGTAATGATGAAATACTTCTTAGGATGATAAAGTAGTAAAAGTGTTTCACCATGTTAGAAAAATAAGATCACCAACATCACCTAATGCATCTTAGATTTTTTAAAAGGGCCCAGTGGACTCATGGAAATTGTAAAGTAGAATGAATTTTTGAAAGGCTTCCAAGGAAAAAAAGCAGAAATCATGAAGTAGCAGTGCTTACAAATGGTTAGAACTGCTCAGAAAAGAAACCCAAACCTAATGTCCAGTGGACCCTGATGATAGAAGGTAGTCACACTTCTACAAAACCCTCTGAAGGAAATCATCTGAAAGGTGAAGATTAACACATGAAGATGCTTATTGCAAAGTTATTTTTATTAAATAGGAAAAAACTTAATTGTGTAACGTAGAGTACAGGTTGTAACATTCTTGATCTGAAAATCTAAAATCCACGGTGCTCCAAGATCAGAAACTTTTGCATGCTGACATGAGGCTCCAAGGAAATGCTCATTGGAGCATTTTGGATTTTGGACTTTTGGATTGGGGAGCCACGATCGGTAGATAAAATGCAAATGTTCCAAAATACGAAAAAATCTGATATCCAAAATGCTTCTGTTTCCAAACATTTTGGATAAGGGATACTCAACCCATAGTAGGTTGATGATGGCACACCAATATATATCAAAGTCTCACGTAATAGTTTATTCTCAGAAAGTCTCTAATGATATGAGAAGAGGATCATGATTGAATATTAAATGTAGCTCATTGCAAACCTGTACACATAGTGTGATGTTAGCTATGTACAATAGATACATAGAAAAATATTGGCAGCAAATACATAAAATGTCAGTAGTTTTTTCTGGGTAGTGAGATGACGTGTGATATTTACATTTTGTTATCTATACTTTTACCTTCTGAAATCTGCAACATGTATTTTTTTAAACCAAAGAAATCTTTTTTTGTGATGTTGAAGCAAGTGTTCTTTTCAGTAGCAAATGTTCTTTTATTGAGACATTTTCTTTTTCTTTCTCTTTTTTCGAGATGGAGTTTTGCTCTTGTTGCCCAGGCTGGAGTGCAATCAAAGGTACAATCTCAGCTCACTGCAACCTCTGCCTTCTGGGTTCAAGCGATTCTCCTGCCCCAGCCTCCCGAGTAGCTGGGTACAGGCATGTGCCACCACGCCTGGCTAATTTTGTATTTTTAGTAGAGATGACGTTTCTCCATGTTGGTCAGGCTGGTCTCAAACTCCCAACCTCAGGTGATCCACCCACCCCGGCCTCCCAAAGTGCTGATTACAGGTGTAAGCCACCGCACCTGGCCTATTAAGACATAATTTATATACCATACAATTCACCCTTTTAAAGTGTCCCATTCAGTGGTTTTTAGTATATTCACAGAGGTGTTCAGCCATCACCACTGGCCAGGTACGGTGGCACACGTCTGTAATCCCAGCACTTTGGGAGGCTGAGGTGGTTGGGCTGGCTGAGCCCAGGAGTTCAAGACCAGCCTTGGCAACATAGGGAGACCCTGTCTCTACAAAAACTACAAAAAACAGTAGGGTGTAATGGTGTGCATCTGTAGTCCCAGCAACTCAGGAAGCTGAGGTGGGAGGTCGTTTGAGCCCTGGAGAGTGAGGCTGCAGTGAGCTGTGATTGTGCCGCTGCACTCCAGTCTGGTCAACAGAGCAAGACCTCATCTCAATCCCCCAAAACCATCACCATCATCACCATCAATTTTAGAACATTTTCTTCACCACAGAAGAAATTCTGTGCCCATTAGCAGTCAGCAGTCCTAGGCAACCATGCGTCTCCTTTCTGTGGGTTTGTCATTTCTGGACATTGCTTATGAGCGTCATGCAACATGTGGTCCTCTGTGGCCGGCTTCCTTCACCAGCATGTTTACAAGGCGAAGCAATTCTCTTTTGTAGTCTAGTTTACTCTTTTTTTTTTTTTTTTTCTTTAGAAAGCATACTAACCTTTATTCATTATGTAGTATAATGTATTTTTTTAATTTCCAGAATTGGTTCCTTCCATTATGAGCAACTTGTTGAATCCAGATGCCATTTTCTCAAACAATGAAATGAGCCTGTCGGACATCGAAATCTATGGCTTCGATTATGATTACACCTTGGTGTTTTATTCAAAGCACCTCCACACGCTGATATTTAATGCTGCGCGGGACCTTCTCATCAATGAACACCGGGTAAGATCCTAGGGAAAGTTCAGTTTTCTCCCTCCCCTTCCCCCTTAGAACAGCCTTGAGCTGACATGACTCCATGTCCGGCACAGAGAAGTCGTTTAATACATTGTTGCTGAATGAATAAGTAGATTTTGTTCCCTTCCAGATTTCCAAGTAACTCCTATCTGGAAGATAGGTTTTTTGTTGTTGTTGTTGAGATGGAGTCTCGCTCTGTCGCCCAGGCTGGAGTGCAGTGGTGCAATCTCGGCTCCCTGCAACGTCCGCATCCCAGGTTCCAGCGATTCTCCTGTCTCAGCCTTTCAAGTAGCTGGACTACAGGTGTGCGCCACCCCATCCAGCTAATTTTTAATAGAGACAGAGCTTCACCACATTGGCCACGCTGGTCTCGAACTCCTGACCTCATGATCGGCTGGCCTCTGTCTCCCAAAGTGCTGGGTCGCAGGCGTGAGCCACTACGACCAGCCTGGAAGATAGTTTGGTTTTTTGTTTTTTAAATAAAACCTTTGGATGTCTTTTGGCAAAGACCTTCCTAAGACGTGCATTAGTGAAGATTTGGCTGTAGATATTTATACTCTCGTCTTTCACGGAACAACACGATGTCTCCCTGAGCTTGATAAATTGGCAGCCTGTTGAATTCTGGTTAGGAGGAATTCCTCAAACGATAGGAGATGTTTTACCTTCAACACCGATTTGAATTGCTAAGAGTAAAGCATATTTGAATGTCTTTCTTCGGATACATAGTATTGTTGAGAGTTTTTATTGAGGAAGGGAAAAAAGAAAATATGCAACCCCAGCATTTTCTTTTTTATTTTCTTTGAGACAGAGTCTCTCTCTCTTGCCAGGCTAGAGTGCAGTGGCACGATCTTGGCTCACTGCAACCTCTACTTTCCGGGTTCAAGTGATTCTCCTACCTCAGCCTCCTGAGTAGCAGAGATTACAGGTGCCCGCCACTACAGCTGGCTAATTTTTTTTTTTTTTTTTTTTTTAGTAGAGATGGGTTTCACCATGTTGGTCAGGCTGGTCTTGAACTTCTGATCTTGTGATCTGCCCACCCAAAGTGTTGGGATTACAGGCGTGAGCCACTGCACCTGGCCCATTTTTTTTTTTCTAGTCTGATTTGAGTATACATTTCAGGAAGCAGGATAAGTGGTGTCCTCAGAAGTCATGTGGGCCAGTACCCTTGGAGACCCCGCCCGGGAAGTACAGCTCAGATCTCCATCTCAGACAGGCACACGTTGCCCTGGGAGTTGGCTCTGTTTTTTGAGAAGTTTTTCCATGGGTTGAACAGTTCTGCCTTCATACAGTTTTCACCATTGACCTCTTTTCTTCCTTGATTTATTCCTTCACACATTTCTTAAGTTCCCTTGTGCCAAGCCCTGCAATGCAAGCTGGGAAGATAAAGATGAGTAGGAGACAGGCAGTGCCCATGAGGAACCAGCAGCCCAGTGGTATCATTAGTCATGGAAGCAAATCAATTATGCAGCCTCCTAATGGAAGTCTCCTTAGCGCTCGAATGTATCTGACTGTGATGGTTAGAACAGCTTTCTCTGCCTGAGGGAATTGGGGAAGCAAAGAAGAAGGTGATACTTCAGCCAAACCTTGAAGGAGTTTGCAGCAAAGGAGGGCTGAGGGTGGATATGAGTAACTTCTAAACCCAAATTATGCAAACTTCTATTTTATATCTAACCGTTTGAGTACTGGATGTATAATGGGCAAGTATCGTATAGACCAGCCTACGCCCTCCAAGACTTCTCTTTTCCCAGGTTGATCGTTCTTAGCTCTCTTAACCGTTCTTGTTTGTCCTCTTTTCATCATCCTAGTCACTTTCCTTTGTGTGTGCTCTGGTTTGTTTCTCTTAAATGTGAGGCTGTGAACTGAAGTTACCTCAGGTGGGGTCTGGCTAGAGTGGAATGGAAGGAGACCATCACCTCCCTGGTTCTGGATGCCATACTTTTATTAATGCAGCCAAAGTTCTCATCAGTTTTGGACCCTGACCATTTGATTCAGCATATTTTCTGATCCCCCTCAGCTTTTGGTTATCAGTGGATTTGAGCAACTCATTTTGTCCCTATCCAAAATGCAGTAATGGCATTGGCCAAAAAGAAGCTTTCCTTCTGCCACTAAGCCAACAGCTGGCTTTCTTTAGTTATGGCCACTTTATTAGATGTAAAACCCCCCAGCTGCTTGGCATCCCAGGTCTTGTTTGTTCGAGGGACGACTTTCTTCCATCTAAACTGTGGTCCTTTTCCTGGATCCTGGAGATGAAAGCCAACTGAGCATGAGGTGGTTCAGACCTTGCTTCCTGCCTGCCACCCATCTTGTCTGTTCACCACCCCCTAAAAAGTGGAGCCGAAGGGGTGTTACATTGTTGCTGGCATTTTAGTTCCAGGTTAGCTGCAGTGATTTCTGTGACTTTGATGTCATTTATTAAAAGCAAGCCATGATCCCAATGACACTGTTCATTGATTGTCCACAAGCTCCTGAAAGAACAGGTTCTAATGCCTCACTGTCGGGGTTCAAATTCTGGCCTTCATCATTTACTTCCTACATAATCTGATTGACCCACTCAATTTCTCTGGACCTCAATTTTCTCCTCTGTAAAATGGGCGTAGTAATAGTACTTTCCTCACAGTCACTGTGATAAATGAATTAATATATGTAAAGTAGATGGCACATAGAGAACACTCAATAAATGTTAGCTATTTATTAATACATTATTATTTATAATCTGCACAACAACCCTGCACACACATGTTGTCTCTGTTTTACAGTTGAGGAAACTGAGGTTCAGAAAATTAAGCTACTAGATCAAGGCTGTAGGTCGGTATGAGACAGAACCAGGTTTGAACTCAGGTCTGTCTGTTTCCAGACGACTGTATTCTCTCCTCTACTGCACGTTGCCTCTCTTATGGGGTTACTAACACCTTTCCATCCTATGGTGTTTTTTTTTTTTTTTTTTTTTTAAAGCAGATAAAATATGAAAATAAAAAATTTATGAACATAAAAAATTTATGAAATTTGAGGGAAAGATAGATGAAATAGATGGATAAAATAAAAACTGCAGTCACTATTATTTGAAATGCCTCTAGATTTAAGATCATTGAAATTTCATTCTCTTTTTTTTTTTTTTTTTTTTTTTTTGA